GGCTGCCCTCCACTGTGGCCTCCTATCCAACAGCCTAGCACACAACTGGGCTCACAGCTGGCACTCAGTAAATATTTGGCAATGTAGTCAGGAGGTTGGTTAAAGGGATGACCATGGCAGGTCCTCAGCCCTGCTTCCTTGATTAGGCTAGTGCTAAAGGATCTAATAAACACACAGCTCAACATCTCTTATTGTGTTAAATAGATATTATATATGGATAACATCTATATTATGTGTCATGTAATATATATTTTATATATATGACAAAAATTTGCCATTTCAACATTTTTATATATATCATTCCATAACATTAACTATATTCATCATGTTCTAACAACTATCATCACTACCCATTTCCAAAACTTCTGTCACCTTTAACAGAAGTTGTGTACCTAAGCAATGCCTCCCCCTTTCTCCTCCTCTCCCCACAACCACTGATAAACACTAATTGGTCTATATGCACTTACCTACTCTAGATACTTCATATACATAGGGTCATACAGTATTTGTCCTGTTGTGACTGACATTTCAGTCAGCATAATATACAGATTCAGCTGTATGTTAGCACATATCAGAACCTCGTTTCTTTGTATGGTGACTAATATTCCATTACAAGGAGCCCTGGTGGTGTAGTGGGTTATAAGCTAGGCTGCTAACATCAAAGTCAGCAGTTGGAAACCATAAGTTGCTCCTCAGTTGGAAGATGAGGCTTTCTACTCGCATAATGAGTTACAGTCTCAGAGACCCATAGTTTCTGAGTTCTACTCTGTCCTACAGGATCACCATGAGACAGAATTAACTTGATGACAGTAGGTTTGTTTTGCTTTGAATATCCCAATGTGCATAGGTACACCTTTTCTTTTTTTAATCTGTTCAACTGTTGATGGACATTCAAGCTATCTCCACCTTTGTACTATTAAGAGCAATGACCACAGCCCAACATTTAAACTTCATCTTGGTGCTTCTAAGGAGCCCCGGTGGCTTAGTGGTTATGTGTTTGGCTGTGATCTGCAAGGTTAGCGGTTTGAAACCACCAGCCACTCCACAAGATAAAGACAGGGCTTTTTACTCCCATAAAGAGTTACAGCCTCAAAAACTCACGGGGGCCATTCTACCCTATCCTATAGGATTTCTATGAGTCAGCATAGACTCCATGAAAGTGAGTTGAGTTGATGCTTCTAGTCCCCTAGGACTGCCTTTCTTGATGAATACATTCAACTGGATGCTTTATGCTACTGTTTCATCCTCACCACAGCCCACAACCAATGCAGATTATTATCACCATTTTACAGACTGGAAATTCAGGCTCCAAGTGGTTCTGACTTGCCCAAAGGAAAACAGCTAATACTGACAATGCTGGGTTTTGAGTCCAGATATACCTCATTCCAAAGATCAAGTTCTAAAAAGAAAGTGAAAAATAAAAGCTACCAGGATAGTGTAAACAGGTTGCTATCATCTACTATCCAAAAGGTTGGACGTTCAAATGCACTCGGGAACACCGTGAAGGAAAGACCTGGCAATCTATTCCCTGGAGACTTTCAGCATTGAAAACTCTTTGAAGCACCGTTCTACTCCAA